ATTTGTATTTGATCTTAGAGGTTCTAGGGAGCTACTGAAGTTAATTGAATAAGAAGATGGTAAGATCAGACCTGTACTTTAAGAAGATCAATCCGACAGCTGAGTGGAAGATGTATTAGAGACTTGAGGCATGAAGACCAATCAGAAGATTATTATGGTAGTAGTCCAGGTGTGAGATGATGAGGACTTGCACTAGGACACTGGAGAGTTAGAAGAGAGAAGTTGGAAGAGAGAAGCGGGTATATGTTTTGAAGGTAGAAATGATAAAACCTGGGAACATATTGGGTGTGTATGATGATTATAAATGATGAAATGATGATTACAGTGAAATTGGGAGCCCGAAGGATGGGGAGGATAGTGATACCATTGACAGTAGAGAGGACTGGAAGAAAGGGGAGAGGTTTTGGGGAAAGATAGTAAGTTCTGTTTTAGACATGTTAAAATGCCTCTGGGATTTTAGTTTTAAGTTTAAGATTTCTAAGTGACATTTGGTGATGTGGGTCTGTAGCTCAAATGGAGAACTAGGGCTTACTGATGTAGCATTTACTTACAAAAAGATGATAATTGAGTCCATGGGAACTGTTGAGATCACCGGGTGAAAGATTATAGAAGAAAAATGGGTGTTTAGGACAGATTTTAAGGAAAGAGGGTTTGATATAAATGAAGACTCAACAGAGGATACACGAGTATCAGACTGGAAAGTGTTGAACCAAGAGAAAGTCCAGAGAAGGAGGAAATGATCAGCAGTGTCAAATGCTAATGGAGAGGTCAAGAGGGATGAATATTGAAGGGGAGGAACATTAGATTTGACAGTTTAGAGGTCATTGATAACTTTAGTGAGTATTTGAATGATGAGGTCAAAACCAAAATTGCAGAGAATTTTGAAGAGTGAGAGGAGAGGAATTGGAGTCACTAGTATGAACAACTTTCTTAAGGAATTTAGTTTTGAAGAAGAGGAGAGCTATAGTGTAACTAGCAGATATAGTACGATCCAATGAATTTTTTAATGGATGGGGAAGACATGAACATATTTATAGGAAGAAGGGAGAGATTGAAGATAAGAGTGGGAATGAGAGTTGGGGCAATCTGGAAATGACATAGAATAGGAACAAAGGAACATGTAGAGATGGCCTGGGCAAGGAAAGGACCATTTCTTTATCAAATGTGATGGGGAAAGATGTGAGATAGTGGAGTAAAATCAGCATTTTTGTTGAGCTTTCCCAAACACACCCCTCTCTCACAACTTAAAAAAGGGCATCAAACTGAACTCTGAATGAGAAAAGCAACAAAAAGAGTGAATCATTTTTCTAGCCTGGAGCAGCTTAGAAAGACAGAAAGAGAAGTCTGCAGATACTGAGGTTGGTGTTGACTGGGAGAATGGTGCTGCAGCAGAAGCTGTACCAGCTATGTGCTACAGTAGTAGCAGTTACAGGGAAAAATGCCCAGGGACTATAAGGGGAATGAACACTTGGTCAGAAAGAGATTCTAGAGGACCCCCATACTAACACTGGGTGCAGGAGAGGGTATCATTTAACAGCCTGTTGCCTATTACCCAGTACTAGATCTCAGTTCCAGGAGTGGTCACGGTCACAGAGAACCTACCTGAGTAAGGACCAGAGTACAGACCAGGAGGGCAGATTGCAAATCTGGAATATACTGTTTTGAAAGCACTGATAACTTATAGGCCTCTCACTGATCTGTGAAAGCAAAAAGAAGTTCATAAAAGACAGAAACTAAGGCCTGACCTCCTCCATTTCCCCCCATCCTCAGAGGTGAGCAGAGCCTAACACTAATATAAATCCAAAGTCAAAATATAGGCTAGAAAATGTACCTGATCATAAGAAATTGCTATTGTGACGGGAAGCTCAAGACACAAACTCAGAAAAAGACAGTGATAAAAACATCTAAATGTGCAAAATATCAAAGGAAAATGTAGATTGGACACAAATTCAACAAAAATTTTTAATAGCGTTCAAAACTTTTTCTTCAGTTGGAAATTTGTCTAAAGAGAGATTGACTTCAACCTGAGGTAAATGACAAATGGCTTCAGCATTGATTGATGATGATCTGTTGAGAACACTAAAGTGTTTAGCCCATCTCTCCAGGATCATGTCTTTGTCACTAATCAGTATGGCTCCTTCAGCTCTTAGTAGTTGAGATACACCAGCATGGTGTGCCCTCATCAGAGAAGGTGCTGTGCTGTATGAGCAAGGCAGAATTGCAGTAGCTCAAAAAGAATGTGAGATGTACCAATTTAGAGAATCTGCCCCAGATGTTCACATGAACTATTTATGCCCAACCTGTGGTAGAGCATCCTGAGCTCATATTGATGTGATCAGCCATATCGGTTGAGCACACTATAAATTGACTCTTAACATAGCAGTGTCATTTTGGTCGTCTTCAAGAACAAAGGACAACAACAAGTGAACCAACCAACCAGCCAACCATATTACCAACAAACCCAGAAGGAAGAAATAGAGAAATTCCATTTAAAATAACTGCAAACAGTATAAAATACTTGGGAGTCTTCTTGCCAGGACACATGCAGGAATTATATGAACACAATTACGAAATGCTCAACAAATAAAGACATATCTAAATAATAGGAGAAATATCAATTGCTTATGCAATATAATAAAATATAATGCAATATATGCAATATATTAAATATATAAATATAATGCAATATAATAAAAATCGTGATACTACCTAAATTAGTTTACTTATGTAGTACCATGCCAATTAAACTACCAAAGAACTAACTTAGAGAACTAGAAAAAACAAAACAAAACAAAATTCATATGGAAGAACAAAAGGTTAAGATTATTAAGGTAATCAAGGAAAAAAAAATGAAGTGAGGAAGCCTAGCAGTACTGGATCTCAAACTGTACTACCAAGTAGTAATCATCAAAACAGTTTGGTACTAGATAATAAATAAGAGTGGTGGATCAATGGAATAGATTAGGTACACAACATACAGAAGTAAATTAGCATAGTAACCTGGTGTTTGATAAGCCTAAAGATCTCAGCTATTGGGGCAAAAACTCACTATTGACAAAAAATATTGGGAGCACTAGAAAGTAATTTGGCAGAAACTGGGCATAAAACAACATCTTACACTATACACCAAGATGAGTTCAAAATGAGTACATGATTTAGACCTGAAGGGTGATATCTTATACTCAGGGGAGCACAGAAGAAATTACTTATTGAATGTATAGATAGGGAGAGGGTCATGACCAAACAATATATAGAGAGGTCCACAGGAGGTAAAATGGATAATTTTGATTGCATAAAATTAAAATGTTTTTGCACAAGCAAAACCAATGTAGCCATGTTTAGAAGGAAAGCAGGAAAATGGAAATTTTTTCTAGTAAGTTTTTCTGATAAAGTTAACATTTCTCAAATATATAGAGAACAAAACCAAATTTGTAAAACAGGAGCAATTCTCCTATTGTTAAATGGTCAAAAGATACAAACAAGCAGTTTTTAGAAGAGAAAACTCAAACAATTAATAGACTTTTGAAAAAATGCTCTAAATCACTAATAACTAGAGAAATACACTGTTAAACACTTCATGCCAATCAGATTCACTTAAGATGACAGAAAAGGAAACCAACATGCTGGAGGGGATGTGGGAAAATAGGTACACTAATGCACTGTTGGTGGAGTTGTGGACTAGTCCATTCCTGAGAACAATTGGGAACTATACTCTTTGACTTAGTAATACTGCTACTAGGTCTATACCCCAAAGAGATAAAAGAAAAAGGCAAAGGAACCATATGTACAAATATATTTAAAGCACCTCTTTTTGTGGTGGTAAAGATTGAAAAATGAAGGGATTGCCCACCAATTGGGGAATGGCTGAACATGTTGTGGTATATGATTGTGATGGAATACTATTGTGCTGTAAGAAATGATGGAGAAAATGGTTTCAGAAAAACCTGGGAAGATATACATGAACTGATGGCCAAGTCAAGTGAACAGAACCTGGAGAACAATGTACACAGTAACAGCAGTATTGTAAGGGATAATCAGCTGTGAAAGACTTAGTTACTCTGATCAGTGTAATGATCCACCACAACTTCAAAGGATTCATGATGTAAAATGCTTATCTACCTGTGGAGAGAGAACTGATGAGCTCAGAATTTAGATTGAAGCATATTTTTCCCTTTATTTTTCTTTGTAAACCCCCCCCCCCACCAACATGGCAAATTTGGAAGTATGATTTGCATGACTTTATACACACACACACACACCCACACACACACACAGTAGGTATCATATTTCTTGCCTTCCTAATGGGTAGGGGAAGAAGTTGGCAGGAGAGAGAGATTTTGGAACTGAAAATAAAAATAAATTAGGTAACACATATCAACTGAAAATGAGTGATAGAGGATGTGATGGCACAAGATGTCTGAGTGCTGAGAGATAGGGAAAACAGGAGATGTAAGAAGAGAAGGAGAGAGTTTGACAGTGGCTTCATTGTTTTGGCAAAGAATGAAGTGACACCTTTACCTGAGAAGTCTGGAGGAGGGAATATATGGGTGGCTTGAGGAGAGATGAGATTTAGAACAATCACTATGGGTTAGTGAATTTCTGAGAAAAAACAGATAAATAAGTAACTTTATAAATAAGCAACTATTTAATATCACATTCTAAAGTAAGGCTTTGTGGTAGTTATTTTGTTTAGTATTTACAAGTCTTCTAGCTTCATAACTCTTTTTTTCCCTCCACATGGTTGAGATTACTGGTAGTTTAACTACTGGATGAATAGGAAATTACTTATTACTTTGTTTAATCAGTAGTTTTGTGAGCATAATTATTCTTCTATATTTAAGCAGAAATCAAATTTTGTGGTGCATCTTTTTTTTTATAATGATAAGTTAGATCAGATGAGAGCTTCTTGCCTAAATGTTGTATTTTTACTGTTAAGCACCTTCTCTTTTGATTTTGAAACTTATGATTATTTTATTTTATTTCATGTTGTTTATCTCTAGGTTGCCTGAAGCTCAGCAGAGAGTTGGAGGCTGCTTTCTAAATCTGATGCCACAAATGAAAACTTTGTACCTTGCATACTGTGCCAATCACCCCTCAGCAGTAAATGTTCTCACAGAACACAGGTATGTAGTTTTCTGAGTTCAAGGCAATTAAGAACCCTTGGCTCTCTGGCCCTATCCCTTCTGCCCAAAAACACAAAAAGTAAATGTTATCTTTGAATGTTGCTCCTTGGGGTGCCTTGAAATGGCACACTTGGATATAAAGCTAGTAATAAGTTGTCTGGGAAGGTAGTTGAATTTGGTTAATTTAGGAGTGGGAATGTGGTAGAGTGGATAAAATTATCTTTAAAAAAAGCTCATGCACATCCCTTGAATTGTCTTTTGCAAAGCTGTCTCATTTTATGTAATATTTACATTCTCCAAAAATTTTTGGTATATTAAATTTTAGCTAATCAAATCTTATTTTTGTATTGACATAAATAATCTCTGAAATGATAATTTGTTTTCATTTCCCTTTAGTTTTCTTTTTCTAGTTACTCTAGCATTCTCAGGTCATAGCTTCTCAAATAAATGCACTAGGAGGAATTTCTTATTCTTTAAAGGAATCTTCAAAAAACTGAAATAAAAACCGTTAACTGCCCAGGGTGATCAACATCCGTAGATGGTTTTATTTGTGAATTTGGATTTTTTTTTTTAAACCAAGTTCAGGTCATTGTACATAGTGGTTGTATATAGTACAGCTCTTTAATACCATAGGTCTAAGGTGGTATTTTATGTCTTTGCCCATATTAACATTATGGTGGGGTTTTATTGTAACTATCTTTGGTAAGGAAGCAAGGTGCTTAAATTATGCTCTGTGGTCTGAAATATACACAGTTCTTTTGGTATCTTTTTCAAGACCCTGTGATAAAACAAACAATGCATTTTATAAGGACCTGTATTATAGAGCACTATGCTAGGTGTCTAGAAGTTACAAAGTTTCAATAATGCATAATTCCTGCCCTGAAAGAGATTGTAGTAAGTATGTGGATATGACACCAAAACAAAGTACTTTTGAGATGTCTGAGGGGGAAAGCTGTTTTTATATTGCAAAATGGGGATAGAGGCATTTTGTTTAAGAATATTCTGTCTAGGGGCAGCTAGGTGGCACAGTGGATAGAGCACCAGCCTTGGAGTCAAGAGGACCTGAGTTCAAATTCGGCCTCAGACCAAACACTTGACACTTACTAGCTATGTGACCCTGGGCAAGTCACTTAACCCCAACTGCCTGAAAAAAAAAGAATAATCTGTCCTTAAAAATAGCTACAACTAATCCCTTTCTATGATCCTCATCCTTAAGGAACTAGAACAACTTCTGCCAACACTATCTGAAAGAGTTCTTTCCCTCACCCCTCAGGACCTATAAGTATCAGAAAGCCCTTCCTACTCATCATATCTGACTCTTTCTACCAAGCTTCTAAATGAACAAGTGGAAATATTCAACTCAAGAGTAATTGTCCCCTTACAACCCTTCACTTAGTACCATAATCCCTTGAAGAGCTAACCTAGGTTTAGGACGTCTCTCCACCCTTGAATGTAGTAGACTTGTGTCACTGGATCATTGAGTGAATGAAGGAAAAAGCATTTACTAAGCACTTACTGTGTGCCACACACTGTACTAAATGTTGGGGATACAAATAGAAGAAGATAGTCCCTATTCTCAAGATGCTCACAATTCAATTAGGGCAGATAATACTTGTGGGAGAGTCCAGCTGTAGGGCAGATGGAAAGGCCTGAAGGCCCGAAAGGTTCAGTTACAAGGCCAGGAGTCCTTATGACGTTTGGTGGTATCTACTGGAGTGGTGAAGCAGCCCAGTGTTGTTGGGAAGGGTAAGTGGATCAAAGAGTTAGCGTATAGAGGTGGCTCTGGATTCTCTCTGACAGGTCTGCGGATCGTAATTCAGTGTCTAGCCTGGACAGGAAAAGGGAAAGAAAGAATGGCTGGGGAAGATTACTGTGGGCTTTTAGTTGAGGGTGTTGGGATAAATGAACCTCTAGAAAATGTGTACCAAACACCCCCAGTCAGAATTTGGAAGGCCATTTTCTCTTAGAAACAATGCTATGTGGTGGTTAGGTTCGATGATAATACCAGTATTGTGATTCAGCTGAATTTTGGGTAAATTGGCTTTTATGTGCTCTCCTGGCACCCATAACCACCATGAATAATGTTATTTGTATGAGAAAATGCATTGTTTTATCTTTCTGCTCCATTAGAGTTTGAGGAGATTGAGGTGCTAGAGAGACATTCATTTGCTGGAAAACAGCAATTGGACATGTAGTGCAAGAATTTAGGAGAGACTGGGATTGCATATATAGATTTGGGAGACATCTGCATAGAGATGACAATCAAAGTCATGGAATTAGATGAGATCACCAAGGGAAATCATGTAAGGAAGAGAAGGACAGTATTAGGGATATTTGGGGTATACCTTTGGGATAGACCACTCATGTCAATAACAATGTCATTATTTTCCTATGGAAACTGTTATAAGTAACATCATCACCAGCAGCTAAAATAGTAACAATAATATCTTACATTTGCATAACCCAGTTTATAAAATGCTTTCATGTATTATTTTGATGCTTCAAAAAATCTGTGATTTCACTGCTGTGGACATACTGCCTGTGAAAGTTGTAGTTCATCTGAGATCTTCACAGATAGTTAAAATAAGTTGTTGTTTTAAGTATGTTTTATTGATACGTTTTGTCATTTCTTGTTGTACAATAATTTTCTATTACACTCGTATAAATATCCCGTTACACTCATATACCACAGTATTTCCCAAGTGGATGCCCACTTGATTTCCAGTTCTTTATTTCCACAAAGAGTGTTGCTTATCAGTATTTTGGTTTCGTGAGTTGTTGTGGGCAAAACATTCATTATTTAGGGGCCAATCTTTTGGTGTTGTACCTTTTTAAATTAGGCTAGGTTCCTTCTTGGAAGACTAGTCCATCATCAGACTTGAACTCAAAGCCTTTGGAGTGTGTTAGGAGCTACCACAGCTTATCTTGCTTTGGGATAGCTTTGGAAAATCCAGTCACATCCCCATCACACATCACAGGGCATTTCAGGAGGATTTTAACAAAGACTTTATACATTTTAACAACAACAAGGACCTGTAATTTCTAGGTGGAAATTCTTTGATTGTGGCAGTTTGCAACCTATATATAGCTTAGGGTCTTAGAGACTCTATGACCATAAGCTCAGAGAAGTTGTGACTTCCCCACATTGACACAGCTTATAAATATCGAGGTTCGCCTGGGCTGTGCTGTTCTGATTGGTGAGTCAGGGAGCAGAGACTCCGGTAGCCCACTATGTTGTGCCAACCCCAGGCTTCCAGCCGTCCACTCAGATGATGATTTTAGTGCCATTGATCTTGCTTCCGCAAGCATCTATCTTGTCTCACACCTCCTCCATCACCCAGGCTGTAATCAAATAAGTGCTGCTTCTGGAAGGGTATGCCAGATTGCCGATAGGGGCCCCCACTCAGCATTTCTGGGTCACCGCTCCCCTGTAGCTCTTCAAGCACAAAGACTGTCTCACTTTTTTATTTGTATCCCCATTGCTTAGCATAGTGTTTGGCACATATATGCATCATTGCATGCATGTTATTCATTCAGAAGTAGAATTTGAATACAAGTCTTCCTCTTTCCATTTTGGCATGTGGCCTCTTTCCCCACATCTTATCTAATTGTAAATGACATTTGGTTTCTAGAGTACTATTTGTAATATATAGTACAGCAGAACTATTGCTTAGCTGCATTATAAATGTAGCTCATATGGTGAGCTACTCTTGCTCCTTGTTTGAATTTTTGCAACTGATAAGAGGTGGGAACCTGGGCTGACAGGAAATAGTGTCTGAAAGCCACAGAGAGCAGTGCATGGGGTATGCTGGTAGCCCCTCAGTGGTTTCTGGACACCCCTTTCTGTGGACAAACTAGTATTTCATATGCATCCAAACCATAGTGAAATGTATCCAGCTAGAAGCTGTGATGAGTTGAGCTATCTACAAGGATCACCTTGTCTGTTCTAGACACATGCAAAGAAATGAAGTACTTTTGTAAATTTTTAGGAGCTTCCTTTGAGGGGAGGGGTGGTGTAAAAATAAGCAGGGTCCTAGAATTGTATCTCACAGCCTCTAAATGACATAAAATAGAATTTTATGCACTCTTCTTATAACCTTACTTTCATTTTTTATCAACATTTCTATGGCAAAGTGCATTCTTAGCTCCAAACTTATAACTTGGAGATAAACTTTTGGAACGTGATCCATTAGGTACTGACTGCACATTATTATTTGACTTTATAGGGTTACTTGGGAGCAAGAACTAGATTTTTACCCCACCTCTAATTTCAGATATCATGAGGCTTTCACCTACTTAGATTCTAGTTCATTGTTTTGAAAATTTTACTGAGTTGTGATAGATGGAGGGTTGAAATGAGATTTAGGGTTTTTAATTTTTGGTTCTCACTTCATTTTGTGACTTGGGGCAAATTACTCAACCCTCTTTGTCTCTTAGTAAGTTTTATGGCCTTCCCTTGGAAAGATACTGTATTGATTAATTAATTGGTGCCTATGAATTGAAACCTTTGAGGTTTTTTTTTTCCCTGATGAAGGCCTGCTGTGAAACATGAGGGAATTTTTATTGTTAGTATTTATTACATTGCTCCAAAGCAACTTATGATCTCACTTCTCAGCAATCTTGTCTCTGTCATATATTGGACAGAATGTTGCCATTTCTTGCCATTCACACTGAGCCTCAAAGCTTTTGTCTTATTCCTGGTGCTTTGAGTGGTCTTTTAAGTGAATGATGATGACCTTAGTATGCTTGCTTCTCATATCTGCTTGTTGAGTTACTGCTTGGATTTGAAGATATTATTTCATTGAGTTTATATATTGACTTGATTTACTGAATTTGGTAGCAAAGTATTTTAATTCTTTCTTACTATAGATTATGCATTTATGGAATGACCTATATCATCTCCAAATGGAAGAGGGGAAAACATTTACTTCTGCTGGGTGAAAATTTCTAGCATTGTATGTTTTGATGATAACTACAATATGTTTTCACACAGATGCAAA